TACTGGTCAAAGGCCATTTAATCAAGTACCAAGCTTGCAAACTTTGTGTTTTGTATGTTTGTTTGTTCGTTAAAAAATGCAATACAACTGTTTGGTTTTGCTCCTGACACGATAAATAAAAAAATATTGGAGAAGTAATATTTTGCACTTGACCAGTAAACTATGCAGGGAAAAGATGGCGTAGCATAGAGAGGAATCTCTGGGGCCCTGAAGATGGGGTAGAAAGATTCTGGGGTTATAGCCCTAAAAAAGCACACCTCCTCCAGCTCTGATTTCTTTGCACAACCTCAAGTCTCTTGCTAAGGAGAACAGGAATCGCAATGCCAGCTATGCTATGCTTGACATTCGCTAGTACAGCAAATTTGAAGAGTCAAATAATCCACAAGAGTATTCCTGGACACCACACGGCATCACTGTATGGTTAACCTGGTAAGGTTACTGCCATAAAAGGGGAGCTGGTGTATAGAGTGACAAACAAGTTCTTAGCCTTATAAGATTACAACTCCAACTAATAAATAAAGGCAACCATAAATCACAGTTCTGAAGTCTCAGGGTAGGAAGAACAGGAGTTGGTCAATGGAACTGTCCACAAGAGTTTTTCATCTATTTCCACCAGCACAGCAGAGGCGTACAAGCCGGGGTGTTGCACACCACTTTTAAAACTCAAGGAGCTTAAAAGTATTTTGTAGGACAGTGTACAGAGCAATACAGTGTTAGACAAGTTCTTAGCCTTATAGGATGGAATCGTCAACAAATAATAATAATAATAATAATAATAATAATGGTGTTATCCTACAAAGCCCTAAACGGTTCCGGCCCAAAATACCTTGCAGACCGCATCTCGGCCTACGAGCCCACGAGGACCTTGAGATCATCCGGGGAGGCCCTTCTCTCGGTCCCGCCYGCCTCACAGGCACGTCTGGTGGGGAYGAGAGAGCGGGCCTTCTCGGTGGTGGCCCCCCGGCTGTGGAACACCCTCCCTGTAGAAGTTAGACAGGCKCCCTCCTTGATGGCCTTTCGYAGGAGCCTGAAAACTTGGCTCTTCGAGCAGGCCTTCAACTGARTGTTATCATTGGAACGATACTGGAATGGACTATGACTAWGATATTGACTATGACCCCAGGACTGGACGAAGCAGATTTTTAGCTTAAGTATATGTTATGTAGTGGTAGTTTTGTWTGTATTGTTGTGAGTTATTGTACACTGTCTTTTCTACGTTGTTGTTCACCGCCACGAGTCGCCCTAGGGCTGAGAGTGGCGGTCAATAAGTGCAAGTAATAAATAAATAATAAATAAATAATAATAATAATAATAATAATAATAATAATCTTTATTTATACCCCGCCACCATCTCCCCAATGGGGACTCGGGGTGGCTTACATGAGGCCAAGCCCAAACAATATATTACAGCAAAATAACACCAAAAACGCAAACAATAAACAACAACATCATAATTACATAAAACAAATGAATGCATAAAAATAAATAAATAAAGGCACCCATAAAAGAGGACTCTGAAATCTGTGATATATCTTTGAATGTCAAAATCAGACTGGCCCATACCATAATAAAAACCTGATGGGAAGAGAATCAGCTCATTGAAATTATTTCACTGGAAAAGAATTCTGCTGATACTTATCATAAAGACAAATGGGTGGATCTTAAGAGAAAATAAGCCAGAATTCTCCCTAGAAGCCAAAATGGCTAAACAGAGGGTATTGTATTTGGATATATCACAAGGCAATGTGACTCATTCAAAAAAACAATAAATCTTGGCATAATGGAAGGCAGTAGAAAAAGGAATAAGACCACATTACAACAATTAAAACCTTAGCAGGGCTACTAATAACAGGGTGACTTGAAGATTTCACATTCAAAGAGTCACAATAGGTCAAAGACAAATTAATGTCAGTTAACAAAGACAATTAACCCCCTGGTGGCACAATGGTTTAAACCATTGAACTGCTGAACTTGCTCACCAAAAGGTCAGCAGTTCGAATCGGGGGAGCAGGGGGAGCTCCTGCTATTAGGCCAGGCTTCTGCCAACCTAGCAGTTCAAAAACATGCTAATTTGAGTAGATCGATAGCTATCACTTCTGTGGGAGGGTAACGGCACTCCATGCAGTCATTCTGACCACATGACCTTGGAGGTGTCTATGGACAACTCCAGCTCTTCAGCTCAGAAATGGAGATGAGCACCATCCCCCAGAGCTATACTTAATGTCTTTGTTAATTTACTTTAACAAAGACAATGCCTGATCAAAGTAAATAAAAAAAAGGAGATGGTTCACCTTAAGTAACTTCCTAAAATTCAAATAAACCAAAAATCCAGTACCTTGAGTCACCTCTTAGGAATACAAATTTAAAATTTGGTTTTCCAAGAATCTCTGTATGTATCTGCTGCCAACTACGGCAATAACAGTTTCTCTCTCCTGATTTATTCCACAGATGGAGAATCTACATTTGGAGAACTCTCAGATACACATCTACAGACTGAGAACATTTCATTGTTTACTATGTTTATTTATTTATTTACTTTATTTGTATACCGCTGTTCTCAGCCCTTAGGCGACTCACAGCGGTTAACAACAATTGTTTTAATTGTTTTTAACTGTTTTTATGATGTGGAGCATTGTATTTTGCTATTGTTAACCGCTCTGAGTTGCCTAAGGGCTGAGAAAAGCGGTATATAAATGAAGTAAATAATAATAATAATAATAATAATGTATGCTTAAACTCTTCTAGTTATTTTATAACTATTGATATGATTAGTGCAACTGAATTTTTTTTTCAACTGTTAACTCAAAAATTCTTCTCTTTGGTAAACCCTATTTTCTTCCTCAATTCCTCAATCTATTTGTATTGTTTGAAAACAAAACTACCCTTGATCAAAAAAATCAGCTTCTAGTCCTCTTGATGTGAACCATTGGCTGGACTCCCAATGTGTGATACAATTTGTTAACTGGGGAACTGTTTGACAGGGTTTTCTTTCTACTCCATCTTTTCCCTATAATCACTGTAACTTCTTTCTTTCTGCTTATATGTCCTGCATTACCCAGTAGACTCACCACTCCCTCTACCCAGATTTCCCCACCCAAAGAAAACTTGACAAAGAGATATGCAACTACACTAGCAAAGCCATATTTGTGAAAGATCCTTTAGCATTGAAGACAAAATTGCTAACTAAAATGTGTTAGGAGAAAACAAACAATCTGATAGTCCTTTGAAAGTTTGCTTCCTTTGTACTCAACAAGAGGTGTATCCTTCCGGATGTTTTTGAATTTCTAAAATCATAATCCCTGGCCAGCATAGCCAATGGCTAGGAATTAAGGAAATTGCAGTCCGACGTATGGAGGCCCATCCCTAGAACAGAATGTTAGTTGCACGGCATCCTCATGCTAAATTGCTTCAGCCAGGGTAACTCAACATCCTCAATCCCATTTCAGGTTTATAATATAATGTATAAAACAGTATGCAGAGAACGTGAGACAACATGGGGTTATGATTAGGATAAAGTATCACAAGATCTAATTTGCAGAGAGTCTGAGTATAGTTGGGATGGGAGCTTCAGGGAAGATGCATTTCTTGAAATTACATATACACCTAATTTTTTCCTGTGAGAGAATACATCTTAATATCTACACAACAGGGAAGGGTTTCCTGTATACCTTCTTTTATAGCAAACAATTTTCCACTTAAGTGCCAATAAAGAGCTAGTGTAAGGAGATGTCAAGATGCAGCTCTTCTGCGGCACCTTTTCTCAACCTAGTTGTCTCCAGATGACTTCAAATAGCATGATGCCTTTCCACTAGTCATGTTAGCTGGAACTGATGGGATCTCCATCTAGAGCAGGGGTCCTCAAACTAAAACCCAAGGGCCAGATACAGCCCTCCAAGGTCATTTACCCAGCCCTCGCTCAGGGTGAACCTAAGTCTGAAATGACTTGAAAGTACACAACAACAACAATCCTATCTCATCAGCCAAAAGCAGGCCTACACTTCCGAACCTACCGAACCCAATTCAAGGTGCAGGTGCTTACCTACAAAGCTCTAAACGGTTTGGGACCTGCCTACCTGCGTGACAGCGTTTATGAACCCACGCGCTCTCTTCGTTCATCCGGAGAGGCCCTGCTTGCGATCCCACCTGCGTCGCAGGCGCGTTTGGTGAGGACGAGGGACAGGGCCTTCTCTGTGGTTGCCCCCCGACTTTGGAACACCCTCCCCAAAGGTATTAGACTCGCACCCACGTTGGCAGTCTTTAGGAAGAACTTGAAGATCTGGCTATTCCGATGTGCCTTTCCAGAATAGGATAACCCCCAGCACTATGTCCCAGAAGCACTTTATTAGAGTTTAAGACTCTCTGCACATTGCACTTGCCCAGAACTCCAACATACCACCTGTCACACCCAGCACTTTTTTAACTTGTACCCATCACTGGCCCGGCCCTGGTTTTATTGCGTAATGGTGTAATGTTTTGTTATTGCTTATGTTTTTTATTTGCTTTGTATTGTATTGTTATTGTTTGCTGTTGTTGTGTTAGGCCTTGGCCTTTGTAAGCCTCATCGAGTCCTTCGGGAGATGCTAGCGGGGTACAAATAAAGTTTAATAATAATAATAATAATAATAATAATAATAATAATAATACACTTCCCATTGAAATACTAATATGTTTAAATTTGTTAAAATTGTTCTTCATTTTAATTACTGTACTGTTTTAAGTGTTTTAGCACTACAAATAAGATATGTGCAGTGTGCATAGGAATTCATTCATGTTTTTTTTTCAAATTATAATCCGGCCCTCCAACAGTTTGAGGGACTGTGATCTGGCCCTCTGTTTAAAAAGTTTGAATACCCCTGATCTAACGGATATGGATTGTGGAAGATTGCCTTGATAGTAGAAACATGTGATGCCCCAAAACCACAATTGGCCTCACAAGAGAAGAGGCAGGAGGACTACACTACTCTCTCTGGCAGAAACCCTCCATTCCTCAGCAACATTACCTTCTTCAGTTTGTCATTCTCCTCCATGTACTTCTTGGCTGCATCACTGGCTCCTTCGGCTTGCTTCTTGAAGGCTTCATTAGAGGCCAAGATGGTGGCGTGTTGGGAGATCAGGGTGACCAGGCGTCTCAGCAAGCTATGAAGAGACACAAAAGTTATGACACTGAGAGCACTAGGAGCAGGTTCCTAGCCATCAGAGCTACTTCTCTGCAGCCTCCCCATCACCATTCCCTCCTGCAACTACTGATCCATTCCCATTGTCCCTGCCCTTTAACATGGACTAACCATTTGAGGTTTTAAACCCATAGCTTTTTGTCTTGGCACGACCTTGAGTTTATGTGCCCTGTCTGTGATTTATGGCACTTCATAAATTTCTTAAGCAAAAAATATTTAGAACTGGGTTTTGTCAAGTCACTTGTCAATGTATGGCAAACCCCTGATTAGGCAAGGAATATACAGAAATGGTTTTGCCAGTTCGTTCCCCTGAAATATAACTAAAAGTACCCAATACTGAAACATTCACACCTAGCTCCAACAGACAAGAGTTCTTTGTCCCACCCTGGTCATTCCACAGATATATAAACCCACTTTCCTAAGTTCCAATAGACCTCACTACCTCTGTGGATGCTTGCCATAGTTGCAGGCGAAACGTCAGGAGAAAATGCCTCTAGAACAGTGGTTCTCAACGTTCCTAATGCCGCGACCCCTTAATACAGTTCCTCATGTTGTGGTGACCCCCAGCCATTACATTTTTTTTCATTGCTACCTCATAATTGTAACTTTGCTATTGTTATGAATCGTTATGTAAATATCTGATATGCAGGATGTATTTTCATTCACAGGACCAAATTTGGCACCAATACCCGATGCACCCACATTTGAATACTGGTGGGGTTGGGGGGGGTTGATTTTGTCATTTGGGAGTTGTAGTTGCTGGGATTTATAGTTTACCTACATTCAAAGAGCATGCTGAACTCTACCAATGATGGAATTGGACCAAACTTGGCACACAGAACTCCCATGACCAACAGAAAATACTGGAAGGGTTTGGTGGGCATTGACCTTGAGTTTTGGAGTTATAGTTTGCCTACATCCAGAGAGCATTGTGGACTCAAACAATGATGGATCTGGACCAAACTTGGCACGAATATTCAGTATGCCCCAATGTGAACACTGGTGAAGTTCGGGGAAAATAGACCTTGACATTTGGGAGTTGTATGTAATTGCTGGGATTTATAGTTCACCTACAACCAAAGAGCATTTCGAAGCCCACCAACGATAAATTTAGGCCAAACTTCCCACACAGAACTCCCATGACCAACAGAAAATACTGTCTTTGATGGTCTTTGGCGACCCCTCTGACACCCCCTTGCGACCCCTCCAGGGGTCCCGACCCCCAGGTTGAGAACCACTGCTCTAAAACATAGCCCGAAAAACCTACAACAACCCTACCCAATATTATATTCAGTGGCAAGCTTTCAAGGTCAGGTGGGATCTGGTGCGTTAAGAATATTTAAGTCCACTTGGCATACACTAGAGAGCATAAAAACAGATCAACACAGCCATGTAAAGAAAAGCCCCCAACCTGCACAAGCTGCATTGAGCTGGCATTGGCAGCCCCCATCCTTCTCCTTCTCCATTTCGAAAAGGACATCTACCCTTTCCAGAGGCAAGGGGCCAAACACCACAGAGGAAGAGAGAAAAAGCATCACTCTTCCCCCAGACATGCACCTTCCTGCTGCACAGCAAGACTTACGCAACTCTCCATCCGCCTGCCTGCTCATTTTCCCCCAAAGGAAAAGCTGCCACATCTAGAAGCTCCCAGAAGAGACATGCTGTGCCAAAGTGGCAGCAGGAAATAAGCAAGAGGTTCACCCATAGACTCCACTCTGGCCTGCCATCAGCCACACTGCTGGGGTGCCCACCATCACTGACAACCTGCTTGGTAGCGATAAACTAGCATGCAGGTCAAAAGGAAGAGAGACACTGCACGGGGTGTCAACACAGCTTGGTGTAGCTTCCTCTGACACACTTAAGAGATAATTGCTGGCTCAAGTGAGTAAGACCATCAGGTTAGTTTTACTGGTTCCTGTAGTAGTGTATCAGCTAGATCTCCTGCACACAACCCTTGCCCAAACTGAACACTAAACAGGAGACTTCACAATTATTGTCTGATCAAAATGGAGTCACAGCACTATGTAATTGTATAATGTGAAAGAGACTGAAGAAGGGGCAAAGCATGAAAGGATTTGCTTTTTTTACTAGAACTCCCTTTAGTCAGCCTAAACATTTTGTCAATAACACTTCATGGAAAAACAAAATAACCCTATCCAAATTTCTACACATTTGATGTTCTCTATTCCATCAGGCTAGTAATTGATAAAAAATGTTGAATAGCACTGGATTTGGGATAGAGCCCTCTGGCACCCCATTATTCCCCTCTCTCCAGGATGAAGAGGAGCACCTTTAGGTGAACTGATAACTGGGGTCTTAACTCCAAATGGGGTGCCCTGAGGTTAGTGTTACGGTCATGAAAAACTTGGCAATAGTAAAAGATTTGTGAATGCCACACATTTGCACAAGTCTGATATCAGCAACACCAAGTGTTTACAGTGCACTTTGCAGAAAATGCTTCACCTATACTCCACAAAAAGGAAAACCAACGTGTTTAGCAAGCTGATTTATTTGGGCTGTGGTAGCACAGCGGGTTAAACCGCTAGCTGTAGAAAAACTTGCTGATTTGAAAATATGCAATTCAAAGCTGTGGGTTGGGGTGAGCTTCCGCTGTTAGCCCTAGCTTCTGACAACCTATCAGTTCGAAAACATGTAATAAGAATAGATCAATAGGTACCGCCTTAGCGGGAAGGTAAAAAGCGCCAATGCAGCCAAGCTGGCAACACGACCAGGAGGGTCTCTGGACAACAGGCTCCTCGGCATGGAAAAATGGAACAAGAGCACCTCCCCATGGCCAGAGTTGAGCATCGCCTCCAGATGTCAGAGATGGAAATGGAAACCTTTGCCATTGTTTGTATATTGTATGTCATTGTTCACTGTATAAAAGGCATTGAATGTTTGCTTATATATGTGTATATTGTAATCTGCTCTGAGTCCCCTCTGGGATATTTATTTGTCGTGTCAGGGCAACCAGTCAATTGTATTACATTTCTAACAGAACAGAACTAAACAAACAAACAAACAGACAAAACACAAAGTTTGCAAGCTTGGTAGTTGTTAAATGTCCTTTGACCAGTAGCTGGCCACTTGGAGTGCCTCTGGTGTTGCTGCAAGAAGGTCCTCCATTGTGCATGTGGCAGGGCTCAGGTTGCATTGCAGCAGGTGGTCAGTGGTTTGCTCTTCTCCACACTCGCATGTCGCAGATTCCACTTTGTGGCCCCATTTCTTAAGGTTGCCTCTGCATCTCGTGGTGCCAGAGCGCATTCTGTTCAGCACCTTCCAAGTTGCCCAGTTTTCTGTGTGCCCAGGGGGGAGTCTCTCATTTGGTATCAGCCATTGGTTGAGGTTCTGGGTTTGAGCCTGCCACTTTTGGACTCTCGCTTGCTGAGGTGTTCCAGTGAGTGTCTCTGTAGATCTTAGAAAACTATTTCTTGATTTAAGTCACTGACGTGCTGGCTGATATCTCCCTCTGGGAGATAGAGCGGAATATAAATAAAATGTATTATTATTATTATTATTATTATTATTATTAGCCAGGACCATTTTTGGTAGTGCCAAAAAGTCATTTTCCCAAGCTCTGGAAAGGCAACACTACCTTGGAGGAGACATTACACATGGCTTCGGTTGAGAATCCCTATCTGATGCTAGTGTCATCTTGGGAAGATCCAACATCCATCTTTGCAGTACTTAAGAGATACTGAACACAGACGTGGCAGTCTCAGGTCCAAGAGCTAGAACATCCTGTCCTCGGTAGATAGGTATTCAGAGATGGACATTATGGCTCGATTCCCTGTCCCTGTCCCAGCTGCAGTATCTAGAGGATGCCTTTTGTATGCATCACTGTGTTCAGACTGCTGATTTACAACCCATGGGTATTGTTTGCTCGATTTGTCTGCTGCCTCTGCTCCCGCCAGCCAGGAGCAGCTGGCGATTTAACGCAAGAGCTAGAGAGGCAGCCACCAGAGTGGACAGTGAAACCCTCAGTCTGCTCCCAGTGCCAGGAGGGAAGGACACAATTGTCTCGCTCACTTGTGCTGAGGAAAGTTGCCACCAGTGGCGAGAGTTGCCAAAATAGACGCCAAACATGAGAGCGCCTTTACAGTGGGAAGAAAGGACTTTTACACTTAGGAATCTCATTTGTTTTTTGCTGTGAAATCAAACATAGAGTCCAAAGCAGAGTTCCACTGTTCGACAGATCTTATGATCAGGGTTTTCTTCCAAATGTTCAGGTGGAATCTCCTTTCCTGGAATTTGAACCCATTGCTCCGAGTCCTAGTCTCCAGAGTAGCAGAAAACAAGCCTGTTCCCTCATTCCTTGTGCCATTGGAGCATATTTTACCAGGGTTTTCGTCCCACAGGCTATTTTAGACCCAGGAGAAGCCTGCTTGGAAAACACAAAATGATTAAAAATATGCCTTTCCATGGCCTAAAAAAGCTCATGGGAGCAATAAAAATGACGTGCAATTGTCACCCCAGAAGTAGGATGAATTTGTTTTGAAATGTATTAAAAGGGGCCATAGGTTTTTAAATCCTTGTGTGTTATTGTTTATATGTGATTTATATTAACTGTATTTTTTTCTTGTTTATTGCTTTTCTGTTTTATTGATGTGTTTCAGGCTTGGCCTCTTGTAAGCCGCTCCGTGTCCCTTGGGGAGATGGTGGCAGGGTAGAAATAAAGTATTATTATTATTATTATTATTATTATTATTATTATTATTATTATTATTATTATATGAGTGCATTTTTGCCTCTGTTCTATCTCTTTATGAGCTCAGAGGCTGCCTTAACCCCCATAGATTATTAGGACAACTTGCCTTTCTGTAAGAGGCAAGAAAAAATACTACTGGTCTGCCACCTTGTGGTTAGTAGTAGCACAGGTCAGCTTATTCCTGCAGCAACCTCATTCTAAGTTTGCTTTTATATTTTCAAAAATGGAGACAACCAAATTTTTGTGCTACTAGCGTTCCTAGGGATCCCTTCAGTTAAAAACCCAAACTTGCCCCACATCTTACTAGTACGGCAGAGATTTAGGCCTGAACCTTTAAAAGACACCGCTGGATTTCTGTTGATTTTTGATGTCAAAATCTAGTGACACACACAAAAGAGAAGGCATTATTCCTTTCAGTGTGTTGCTTTGACATTTAATAAATCAGAACAAGCTGCTCATCTGCCTCCCTGAAAAGCAAAATCACAATTCCAGGAGTGCAGATACACTCTTTATCAAAGGTGACCAAGGAGTTTATGCCTCCCTTAAAGCAGTGGTTCCTAAACTCTGACCCTCTAGATCAGGCATGGGCAAACTCCAGCCCACCAGGAATTTTGGACTGCAATTCCTACAATTCCTAACATTTTCAGGTCCCTTCCATTTCCCTCTCAGCTGTTTTACTAGAAACTAGCTGCCCCTTGCCATGCGTTGCTGTGGCCTAGTCTGGTGATCTGGAAAATAAACTGTTGGTTCTAATATATGTAATTTCTTTCTGCTTGTGGGTAAACAGTATTTCTTATTGTTTCTTTGTCAGTATTGATGTGGAGATTGTCTGGTTTGCCTACTCTGAAACAGGCAACATATAATTGTCCTTCTTTAGGGGTCCCTTTCAAATCTATACTACATCTGTGTGTGTGAATCATATATATCTATCTATATCTATGGCTTGATGGCTCTTTGTCAGGAGGGCTTTGTTTACGTTTTCTTGCCCTGGTGAAGGGAGTTGGGCTGGGTGGCCTTAAGTATCTTCTGTTGGCCATGGGGGTTCTGTGTGGGAAGTTTGCCCCAATTCTGTTGTTGGTGGGGTTCAGAATGCTCTTTGATTATATGTGAACTATAAATCCCAGGAACAACTCCCAAATGTCAAGGTCTATTTCCCCCAAACACCATCTATATTCATATTTGGGCATATGGAATGTTTGTGCCAAGTTTGGTCCAGATCCATCACTGTTTGAGTCCACAGTGCTCTCTGGATGTAGGTGAACTACAACTCCAAAACTTAAGGTCAATGCCCACCAAACCCTTCTAGTGTTTTTTGTTGGTCGTGGGAGTTCTGTATGCCACGTTTGGTTCAATTCCATAATTTGTGGAGTTCAGAATGCTCCTTGATGGTGGATGAACTATGAATCCCAGCAACTACAACTCCCAAATGACAAAATCACTTTTTTTTTAGTGAACGACATACATTGGGTTGTTAGGTGTACGCTGTCCAAATTTGGTGTCAATTCTTCCAGTGGTTTTGAGTTAGGTTAATCCCACAAACGAACATTACACTTTTATTTATATAGATGTGCTATGTTATACATTGCCATGTCACACATTTTCAGTGGCAAATCAGTTATGATGACCGGGAGCCTTGAGGGAACCAATATCACCATAGTCAAACTGCTAAAAGTAAGAAATGGTAAGAGACAGCCACCAATGATCTATGTTCAGTTCATGCAACATCACAGCAAAGCCTGTGACACCTCATGTTCCCACCATGTGTAGTAAACACATGGTATAGAACATACGTCTCAAAAACAAAACCCATGTCATTTTATGTGTCCCATGATGCTTTCAATGCCAGGACAACAGAGTTACATTTATGCAATCTTACAATTACAAATGACCCATTGAAGGCTGATGTGGCCTTCAGTGATAATTAGTTTGACACCCTTGATATACAACATGTCAACATAACATAATCCGCCTTAAGTCGCCGAAAGGATGAAAAAGATGGTATACAAATACAGTAAATAAACAAACAAACATACATTCCTTCCTTGGCTTCAGAACATGATAATGGGCATAGGTTTCTTTTTTTTTTTAAATGATTTTTATTAAGTATTTTATAAAACAGGACAACGAAAGAGGGGAAACAATAAGAAGGAAATAGAAAAGTAGGAAAAAAGAAAAAAGGACAAAACAAAGAAAAAGAGACTAAACTAACCTAAACTATTCTAAAATGACTTCCACTCCAACATCAGGATCTTTTCCATCAACTTCTTCTACTCTTGTCTATTCTTATCCTCTAATATTTTTCTAAATTTCTTTTCATAATCATAAAAAGAAGTCCAGTCTGTTCTCTTTAGCGATTTCCCGGTATTTCTTCTCATTAGAAATGTCAATTCATCCATGTCTCTAATTTCTTTAACTTTCTCCAACCATTCTTCAACAGTAGGTATCTGTTCATTTTTCCAAAATTTGGCAAAAATAATTCTTGCCGCAGTAGTAAAGTACGTGAATAATTTATCTTCATTTTCCTCTACTTTAAGGTCAGAGTCCGTAAATCCTAATAAATAATATTCAGGTTTCTTTCTAAACCTTCTCTTCAGTATCTTTTGTATTTCTTCATGTATAGATGCCCAGAACTTAGTTGTTTCTTTGCACGTCCACCACATGTGGAAGAATGTGCCCGTTTGTTCTCCACATTTCCAACACTTATCTGAGACATTTGGGTACATGTAGCTTAGTTTATTCGGAGTCAAATACCATCTATAAAACATTTTGTACCAATTTTCCTTCAAATCCATGGCATAAGTATATTTCAACTTTTTATTCCACATTTGTTCCCATTCTCTAAATTGAATGGGCCGTCTTAGATTTTCGGCCCATTTAATCATACAATTTTTAACCTGCTCTTTTTCCGTTTGCCATTGGATCAGTTTATTGTAAAGAATTGTGACTGCCTTCTTCTCAGTTTTTAACACTTTATCCCATGTGTTTTCTTCCCAGTCAAATCCAATTTTTT